ATATATTATTCACATCAAGTCATATTTTGTCGGTTGCTTCTGAGAAACTGCTTAATTTTTAGTTCAGACAATTTCACAGAATCTAAACCATACCCTGAAATAGAACGAATCCTAAAATACTTTTAACTGAAGATGACTTGATTAGTCGAAGACGTTTGTTCTTAAAACATACTAATAGAGCAAATATTATGTCACTTTTAACTTATTAGTCGGGCTAGCCATAGGCTAGGACGACTTTAGTTTTACCTTTTTGCCAATCTATCTGTGTGTCATGTCGCGTTTGAAACACCGGAAGTTCAATCCGCAACCTTCCTGTCATGTGGTATTTTTTCTAACCAGAAATCAGACAACTCCAACTGGGATCCCTGTGTCATTGCGTCACACATGACGTCATGACATTTATTAATTCATCATACGTCATATGAGTCTACCTCCGAGTCTGCGGCATATCATCGTATGCTACTACTTTTTGCTTGACTTATATACTAATAAATTTGCTTGTTAAGAACCATGTGGGAGGACGTGTGCCTTTTGTAACTGAATGAAACATAAAACGCATGCTCAGGGTACTAAATCTCCCATCCAATCACACATTTTTGCAGTTACCAGGGCATAGGTAGCYCTGTCAAATATACCATAATAATCAGCCAACCACGTGCATACCTACAAAGTAACCTGGCAGCTAAAATTACCCATAATTTCCTGGTTGGATAGCACAGGAATACCAAGATCACATGGTCAATCATATTATCCATAATGCTTTACTTTACGTGTCTTATGGTGCTGTGCTTGTGCTATAGTACGTTTGCTCGACGTTTCTTCCTTCTTCCTTGGGGAGTTATTACAATTAMATGTAAGATGTCAAAAAAGTACATGCTCAGACGCTCAACGGCAGCTCAACCATCTTACAAACGCACACACCGTTCGCGGTAGACTCACACTAAAAGATGTCAATGAGCGTCAGTTTCGAAACGAGTCGTTCCGCGAACCCAAAGAATTCTTCGACAAGACGAAGGATCAGACCTCTACAATCAGCTCTAGACTCACAGTGATAAGTTTATTTGTTCTAATAGCTATATTTTACGTATCAATAAAATAGTTTTGTCTATTATATTTCCCCATTTACTGTGTTATTCATCGCAGTCTTGTTTTGTAAAATATGCTTCTTGACCTGAGAGGTCATTTTTTAATTAAAAACGTGAAACTTTACACSAAGATATCTGATAATCAAATGCATTGTGCCATTTCGTCTACGGTTGCATTAGTAATGATAGTACTATATGAGTTTTAAGAGCATTTAAAGCATTTATTTTGAATTTATTTGAAAGAGTTACCTTTGGAGATTCCCCTAAATAGTATAAGCTAGTCTATGTACAAAAAACGGGATAAGTATAGGTTAATAGGATTCTTTACTTTAATCATTGCATCAAAAATTGTTAAATTATAAATTGTTGTTTATATGACCTTTTTAAAACACACGAAATTTGCATATTTTGAATGATCTACACGCTTTTACAGCGTGAAGTTGGGATAGCTATTTTTGAAAATTGAGAAAGACAGAATATCACTCCTGGATCGATATTCCTAGTGTTTTGGTGTCGTTGCGCCAAGCCATCAGAAAAGAATATCGCGGTGCGTGAATAAACAAACTAGGTAAGGTATTCTTCGCCATAATTTACTTTTATATATAATTATATGACTGTCAGAATATGACATGTTTTTTAGATACGAATTTTATCTTATTGTGTTGAACTCTTTCGCTCTTCACGTATTCGAAAATCCAAGTAATTTGTCAATTTTCCAAAATAGCTAGCCCGACTTCACGCTTAAAGAGCGTCTAGTTTGTAAAACTAACCCAAAAGCTCGTGATACCGCATTCCAGTCTGCTCGTGATACCGCATTCCAGTCTGCTCGTGATACCGCATACCGGGTAGCTCGTGATACCGCATACCAGTCTGCTCGTGATACCGCATACCGGGCAGCTCGTGATACCGCATACCAGTCAGCTCGTGATACCGCATACCAGTCTGCTCGTGATACCGCATACCAGTCTGCTCGTGATACCGCATACCGGCCAGCTCGTGATACCGCATACCGGCCAGCTCGTGATACCGCATACTGGTCAGCTCGTGATACCGCATACCGGGCAGCTCGTGATACCGCATACCAGGCAGCTCGTGATACCGCATACTTGGCAGGTCGTAATACTGCATACCAGGCAGCTCGTGATACCGCATACCAGGCAACTCGTGATACCACATACCGGGCAGCTCGTAATACCGCATACTGGGCAGCTCGTGATACCTCATACCGGGCAGCTCGTAATACATGTACCGCATGACAGTCAGCTCGTAATACCGCAGCTCGTTATACCTCATACGTAATACTGCATACCGGGCAGCTCGTGATACCTCATACCGGGCAGATCGTAATACCGCATACCGGGCAGCTCGTGATACCTCATGCCGGGCAGCTCGTAATACCGCAAACCGGGCATCTCGTGCGACAGCCATTGATTCAAAATGCATTGTGTGTTTACTAGGTACGATGTTTACCATTGCCAAGTTCTATTAGGGAAACTATCGGCCAAAGTATGCTACAATCAAGAGTTGAGGTATTGACAAGTATTCATGCCATTCATGTGGTAAAAATATCTTGTAAAGGTTAAATCTTAAATATCGTTATTTAGGATATGGTGTTTGCTATTCTTGTGGCGAAGAATCAACTTGTGACGTTAGTGAGACCMAAAAAGTATAGTCTTCACCCTTCAGGTAATCGGCAAACTCATCCTATATGTTCTTCGGTCCTTGTTGACATTATACTTGCGTTTTCAGATCTCCATCTAATCTTTAATTTGGTTAACGCGTCGACTTCGTTCCAGACTGCAGAGTCCTGGACACCAATCTGTCTTCCAAGATTTGACAATAGGTAATATAACGTTCCATAACAGTAGATCAAGGGAACCACTGAATATATACACCACGGAGGCTGTCAAGGGTGTACTCGAACTAGTACAGATTAACAAATTAACAAGTTGCGCTGGGTTTTGAGTTGTATTTCCTCGTATTGACACATTCTTGATCAGACATTAAATGTTCAAAACTCAATTKTATGGACCCACTTGGATTGATTGCATGTTTTGAACATTTTAACAACTTTTATATACTAAAAATATGCGAAAATCATCCTTTTCTTTCACCTGAGACCGCAAGAGAGACGTAATAGTGTTAGAACTGTGTGTATATCATCTTTTTAACACACTATTCAGCTAATCATTGACTGCTCTTCTTGTGTTTCAGTGGGTATCTTTATGCCCATATATCGTATCTTCAAGACGAATGCCCAGCATGTCTTTTACTACTGTCCACTGATCGAAATGCKTTCTTTGAATTGGCTGGTTCCAAACAGAAGATTTTAGAGGTACACCTACTTGCAGAAACGTTGTCATAGAAAATAGAACATTCGAATTTAGTAAAAAGGAATTAATTAAAACAAGACAAAAGAAAGCGTTCAGCCTCAGTGATCTTCTTTTGTCTTTTTAATTTATTCCTTTTTACTAAAATACAAATGTCCTATTTTTTATGACAACGTTTTCGCAAGTAGGTGTAAGTGAAAAACACACGTGCTGCTATTTGCTCAGATACACTGATCTCTTTATAACAAGCACCATTATTGGCTCAGGTTAATTTATTAAAAATGACTTTTATGAATGTGGGTAATGACTATCGAATGGCATTTTGTATTCTTCAGAGATTAAATAAATATAAGTGTTTAGACGCAATAACAGAAGCCGTTGCTACAAGAAGCTACAATACAGGTAACCTAGCAGTAAGCTTGATGCTTAGTTGGAACTGAGCCTTCGTTGTGGAAGGCCTGCGGTAAATCCGCGCGGTGCGTGCATCAAAACGAGGTCAGGGGCAGAAGGACATACTGGTTGGATTGTCATTTTCAATACACTTAACCAAACAATAAAAACAATCCTTCGCTTCTGTATATGTGTATGATTTTTTTGAAATCTTTAGAATAAAATTATCTGCTACTCAACTTTTCGATAGACCATAATATTAATTATGACTACTCTTCTCACAGTCTCAAAGCTTCAAAGGAAAATTATTTGAACACATTTCATTGATGCAATGCTTACCATTTTTTTTCTCTGAAGTTCGGTGAGTACTCCATAATAATTAATTTTATATTCGCAGCATTCTTGGCAATGATTTTTTTTGCGGCTGGTTGTTGGAGCGATATTTGCCTTCTTTCCGACAACTAGTCGCCTTATTCCTCATTTCATCATCTCGAGGTTCCACCCGTGTTGCTCTGTTCCAATCCCATTAGAGAAAGCTCGTTACTTATTAGGCTACTTTTTCCAGCATTCGCCCATTTCCATACAGTGTAAATGAAAAGTGCAAGTTTAGTCGCTTGAATTTAGCTGTTGAATTGAGATTCTACTGATTACAACGGGCTTGTTTCTTTTTTGATTCTGGGACCAACCTCGGTTTGATGCTTGCAGCGAGAGGATTTGTTGGCTGTATCCCGGAAGATCTAGCAGACTTCGTATATGAGATGTTTTTATGAATAGAAATTAAGTGAAGAAGCGATCACTAGATTTCTTCCTGTTAATAATGATATCTATATATGGCATAAAGTGGTTGTGTTGATTTCTTCCTGTTAATAATGATATCTATATATGGCATAAAGTGGTTGTGTTGATTTCTTCCTGTTAATAATGATATCTATATATGGCATAAAGTGGTTGTGTTGATTTCTTCCTGTTAATAATGATATCTATATATGGCATAAAGTGGTTGTGTTGATTTCTTCCTGTTAATAATGATATCTATATATGGCATAAAGTGGTTGTGTTGATTTCTTCCTGTTAATAATGATATCTATATATGGCATAAAGTGGTTGTGTTGATTTCTTCCTGTTAATAATGATATCTATATATGGCATAAAGTGGTTGTGTTGATTTCTTCCTGTTAATAATGATATCTATATATGGCATAAAGTGGTTGTGTTGATTTCTTCCTGTTAATAATGATATCTATATATGGCATAAAGTGGTTGTGTTGATTTCTTCCTGTTAATAATGATATCTATATATGGCATAAAGTGGTTGTGTTGATTTCTTCCTGTTAATAATGATATCTATATATGGCATAAAGTGGTTGTGTTGATTTCTTCCTGTTAATAATGATATCTATATATGGCATAAAGTGGTTGTGTTGATTTCTTCCTGTTAATAATGATATCTATATATGGCATAAAGTGGTTGTGTTGATTTCTTCCTGTTAATAATGATATCTATATATGGCATAAAGTGGTTGTGTTGATTTCTTCCTGTTAATAATGATATCTATATATGGCATAAAGTGGTTGTGTTGATTTCTTCCTGTTAATAATGATATCTATATATGGCATAAAGTGGTTGTGTTGATTTCTTCCTGTTAATAATGATATCTATATATGGCATAAAGTGGTTGTGTTGATTTCTTCCTGTTAATAATGATATCTATATATGGCATAAAGTGGTTGTGTTGATTTCTTCCTGTTAATAATGATATCTATATATGGCATAAAGTGGTTGTGTTGATTTCTTCCTGTTAATAATGATATCTATATATGGCATAA